TCCCCTTATGTTTTCACTTTCTAGTCTTAGTTTCCCAGCAACACACAGTAACTTAGGCAAATGAGATTGAATGATACCTTGAAATTCAATATAAAAAGTTGAAGTGGTAGTCTTTCAGACCACTTGGAAAATTGGAAAAAAGAAAATTAAGTTTTTGTTTGGCTAATCCTGTCTGTCCCTAAAAGTCCCCTCAGGATAGAAGCATTAAAAAAAAGCACACAGACGAACATCTGCTCCATAGGCTTGTGGTTGGCAGAGCAGCGGCATTTCCACCCGCATACTCAACCCCTTCTCTTGGGACACAGGAACGGAAGTGAGCCACGGAACGAACCCATCACAGCATCTCCTGTCCTGATGATTCATCCTGCTCCTCGTCCCGGAATGCTCTTGCCAGAGGTCCTGCTCACACGCCATACCTTTCCCAGCCTTCCTAACCGACTCAAACCCCAAAAGAGAGAGGTTTAATGACACCTCTCAGTCTCTCCTGCTGAGCCTGTCCAACATTTATGGTGCCTCTCCACCCTGGTTAAACATTAAGCCAGTCTCATTATACACACCCCTTTCGCTCTGTAACACACTTATCTTCTTTCTCGCCTCCATCCTGCTCTTTTAACTCCACTCTTTCTCTGGCAGGGACCTCAGCCAGTCCATCCCCCTATGCCAAGTGGACTTACAACTTTCCCTATTCCCTATGCCATCATTGTGACTGTGCGTGTGTATGTACTAAACATAGCAGCTCTAGTTCTAGCTGTGAAGCGTCTTGCCGCTGACCTGGATAGCATTTCATAGATTTAGCGCCAAACTTGTCACATGCACTTCAGAATAGACTAATATTTCAATATTTATCTAGCAGCAGTCATTCTTACATTCAAGAGTTTAGAACTTTAAAACCTCTGTACTATTGTTCAAAAGCCTGGGTATAAGATTTTGTAAAAGTTTTTGAAATAAATCACTTGTGCTCAACAAGGCTGCATTTATTTGATCAAAAATAAAGTAATAACAGTAACATTGTGAAATATTACAATTTAACGAAAGTTTTTTTAGATTATATATATTTAAAAAATTTAATTTAGTCTTGTGTTGTCAAAGCTGAATTTTCAGCATCATTACTCCAGTCTTCAGTGTCACATGATCCTTCAGAAATCACTCTAATATGCTGATTTGCTGCTCAAGAAATATTTAATATTATCAATGTTGATAACATTGCTCCATCAGGATTCATTGATGAATATAAAGTTAAAAAGAACGACGTTTATTTGAAATAGGGATTGTAACATTATAAATGTCTTTACGGTCTCTTTTGATCAATTTCATGCATTATTGGTGAGTAAAAGTAATATTTTTGTTCCAAAAAAAATCTTACTGTCCTCAAACTTTTGAATGGTAATGAATGTATATACTTTGTATTAGTTTAACCATTTCAACATTGATCAGTACCTGGAAACTATAGTTTTTTTTATGCGTATTATGATGACTGTTTTAAAGAAAAAGAAAACATATGACATAAAATAAGAAATAATTACTAATGTAAACAAAATAAAAAATAATATTTTCTTCTCACTCAAAGGTTTGTTTCTTTGAAAGTGTTTGTGTAAGAAAAGAACTGTTGTCCTGACTCTTTAGCCTCATGACCCTCTCGGGAGCCCCCAGCCCAGCACGGAACGTTCCTCCGAAGTTGTGCCAGAGCACTGAAAAATAATGCCACAGAGCGGCACAGACTTAGGCGCACACACATAGAGGTGCGTGTCTGTGAAAGAGGTCAAGGTGAGGGGGGGCTAGAGTTACAGCTGATGTGGGGGAGTCAGACTGAGTCAGTTTACAGCCGGGATCGATTCTGATAAACCTCACAGAGTCACTGGACCAAAGGGCAGAATCCGAGCCAATGCATACCAGCCATTAACGGGAACCCGCAGGCGAGCCGAGCGTGGCACCGCAGCCCAGGCCTGCCAGTGAGTGGGCGGTTGATGGGTCAGATGGTCATCTCAGTGGGAAGAAATACATGGTTGTGTAAATGAGCCTCCTTGTTATTTTCCTGGAAATCAACTTTAACTAGAATCCACTCATAAACAGTATTTATTGCAAATTGCAGCGTGCTCGCTGCCTATATGGCCGAACACTGCTTTTATTGACTACAGGACCATTCACAAGAAAATTGCTGGCAAAACAGTAGGAGCCAACTAATCCTTCAGGACACTTTTGTATATGTTTGTTTTAGCCATCACCGCCCAGAAGGTATTGAGGCATCGCTCTATGTGTGTTTTAGTTTAAGAGGGAACACAGTTCAGAGCAGGAAATGTTTCCCTCTGATGTTTGTTTCTCTTCGTCCCTTCCTCTTTAATGCCATTTAAGGCATAGGTCACCCAAAAATCTTTTTTTTTTTTTAAGTCTATAAAGTGAATGGAGAATGAAAAGTCCAGGTTTTATATAAGGATGACTGAATTTTCATTTTAGGGTGAACTATCCCTTTAATATTCAGGCTCAAGCACATGCATGTCAGGTAGCACAGAGAGGAAACTAAAGCTGACATCAGATCTGTTCACAGGGAAGGACAGTGTGCATTTACTGTCCACTGGGTGTGAAGGGTCTGAGGGCTGGCTGCGGGACGGAGTTGGTCCAGAGGGGCTGGGTTGGGTAGAACTGGGTTGGTATTGTGTGTAGACAGATTGAGCACAAAAGCTCTCTATGTCTTTTTTAGTTCTAAGAACAGCCCTAATTTGGAATGTTATGATCTGCAAGCAGCAGTCAAGTGCCCGTGACTGCTGAGTGTTTGTGTGTTTGAATTCACTGCCAAGTACTACAGAAGAGTTGCTGTTACTAAGTGCACTTGTTCATAAAGGTAAGTGTGTGTGTGTTTTTGACCTAGTGACTAAATTACTGAAAAATGTAAATCAAATTGCAAAACTCAAATGCAAAAATGGTTTATAAAGAAACAAAACAATGTTCAAGTCGCAATAAAATGGAAACGGTATTGGCAGATATTTTGATCTTTATTGTGACATGCATCTGAATGAAAGATAATCAAAAAGAAAAAAAATGTATTCTGTCCATTGTTGCTGATTAGATGGTGGCCGGTCTAAATGAGAGTTTGCAGTTGACTTTAGGAAAGTAGGAGGGTTTAAACAGACTAAATGACTGTTGAAGTCCAACATACTGTACCAAACCAAAGAAAAGTTTGTTGTTGCACCAGAAGATCCAAAAAATAAAAATAAATTAATAAAATAAAAAACAAGTGAATAATAAATAAATGAAAAAAAAAACTGCTATGTGGTTATTTTTAGCATGATTCTGTGCAGTTTCTAGGGTGTTCTGGGTTATTAGTGCATTGCTATGTGGTTGCTAGGATGCTGTGAGTTTCTAGGTTGCCCTGCTGTGTGGTTGCTAGGGTGTTATGAGTGTGTTTTTAGCACATTGCTGTCCAGTACTAGAATGTTTTGGGTAGTTTTTAGCATGTTGCTATGCAGTGCTAGTGTTTTTTTTTTTTACTGCATTGATACAAGGTGAAAATTGTAAGTCCACTTATATGAAATTTTAAGTCCTATTATATGAAATAGCACCCCTCTTCCTGATAAGCTGTATGGCAAGTCTAGTTTAATACCTCAGGGTTTGTTCAAATACTTAACCTAGAACATTACTCTGTATCATGTAGCAAATAGGAAGTGTGGTCTGTTTTGTATTGTTCCGCTTTATATCTGCAGAGCCTGTGGGGTTTTCTTTAACCAAGGGAGTCTTTTAGAATCCAGTAAATGACCTTATGACTCACAGCATATAGACTAGATATTTATACAGTTGTTTGACAATTACCATACAAATTACATGACTTAACTCATGATTAGTTCACAATCATGAACGATGAAACACCATACAGTCGGCTAACTGCCATTATGACCAATTGCTACTTTTTCTTTTGGTTAGCCACATTGAGCCACATCAAAGGGTTTCCAGGTTATTCAGGTTGACCTTTCCTGGACCCCTGCTGCAGTCCAGAGCTCTTTTCTCATTCTGTCTTCCCCTCTTTAATATGAGCTCTGAGATGGGGAAGGGGAAGCCAGACCTGAGGAATGTACTAAAGAATCCAGACATCCCTCGAACCATAGCTCGCCACACTGTCAATCATCAGGCGTCAACGACCAAAACATCTCAGACAGCTAGTTTTTGAGGCCACTGCTAGCACATTGTGGATGGTTTGTGCAACCAGTTAGGACAACAGTGGAGTTGAATGTGCAGTTACTTTAAAGGTACAGTTACTTTAAAGGTTTTCACCCAATACCATATGGTATTAGATTTTTTCGCATAATGCCAAACCATAATTATTTATAATGATTCATAATCAAAGACCAGCTGTTTCATGACCTGCCTTTTTTTCCATCTGGAATGTCAACAAAATTTATCTTTTTGTTAATTTAATGTTTAAGGGAAACCCATACATATGACCCAAAAATAATGCAAAAATATGAACTAATGTATATAGAAAATGTAACACAAAACACTCAGATGTACATTACTGATGGAACAAATGAGAAGAGACTAACTTAATATAAAATATGTGATGTGTCGCACAAGGACTTCTGGTAATGTCCTTTTACTCTTTCTCACAGTAAATTATACAGTAATTCATAGTTTTTACTTGGAAAAACCATATATTTGACAGAATTTTACAATAATGTCACGTATAGTGTGATGCTAAACCATTTACAATTTTTCACCATATTTGGTAATGTAACTTACAGTTAACCAATTAACAAGCGTTTTCTGTATAAACTTTTTTTCTTTTTTACAGTTGGTATCAGCTGAAATTTTGCTACCATGGCAATACAAAACTGAAGAACCAAATGGAACCATATGATGTTTATTGATCATATCGAAACAAAAGAAGTGAAAGAGACTGATTGTTCTCTATGTACTGCACATCCTTCGAGAATATCTAGCAGAGTTTACTGGAAAGGAAGTGAAAGATCAATACCTGCCAGATGCCCATGTGTTCTGTTTTTTCTCTTTTACAGGGGCAACTAGAGGTCACTCTGTCTCAGCCCACTCGCACAGCCAACGGCACACCCTGGTGAGTTCAGGCATTAATGATGTTTAATAGGATGTGTGTGTGTGTGTCTGTCCTACATCTCCCTCACAACCTGGACAGATGGATTTGTCAGTGCGTACTGTACAAATCCTTACAAAAAAGTACTGTGGTGGGACAGCGATTGTATCAGATGGTAATACATCTTATTTTGATATAAACCAGCATACAGAATGAGCTCTTATGCTCACCAAGGCTACGTTTATTTGATCAAAAATGCAGTTAATCATTAATATTGTGAAATATTATTACACACATTATATAAAATATTAGTTTTATAGTAAGTGTTTTCTATTTTAATATACAAACCCGATTCCAAAAAAGTTGGGACACTGTACAAATTGTGAATAAAAACAGAATGCAATGATGTGGAAGTTTCAAATTTCAATATTTTATTCAGAATACAACATAGATGACATATCAGATGTTTAAACTGAGAAAAATGTATCATTTTAAGGGGAAAATAAGTTGATTTTAAATTTCATGGCATCAACCCATCTCAAAAAAGTTGGGACAAGGCCATGTTTACCACTGTGTGGCATCCCCTCTTCTTATTATAACAGTCTGCAAACGTCTGGGGACTGAGGAGACAAGTTGCTGAAGTTTAGGAATAGGAATGTTGTCCCATTCTTGTCTAATACAGGCTTCTAGTTGCTCAACTGTCTTAGGTCTTCTTTGTCGCATCTTCCTCTTTATGATGCTGACCTAATAAGTAGCAAATTTGTCCTCCAGCTGTTCCTTATATGTACATTTAACTTTTCCGGCCTCTTATTGCTACTTGTCCCAACTTTTTTTGGAATGTGTAGCTCTCATGAAATCCAAAATGAGCCAATATTTGGCATGACATTTCAAAATCTCACTTTCAACATTTGATATGTTATCTATATTCTATTGTGAATAAAATATAAGTTTATGAGGTTTGTAAATTATTCCATTCCTTTTTTACTCACAATTTGTACAGTGTCCCAACTTTTTTGGAATTGGGTTTGTATTTTAAAAATATAATCCACTCTAAATTTTTTTAATGCTTTTATTCCAGTCTTCAGTGTCACATGATTCTTCAGAAATCATTCTAATATGCTGATTAGTGCTCAAGAAACATTCCTTATTATTATTATTAATATCGAAAACAGTTGTGTTGCTTAATATTCTTGTGGAAACTGTGATACATACTTTTTCAGGATGCTTTGATGAATAGAAAGTTTAAAAGAACAGCATTTTTTGTAATTTATACACTTACACCATGTCTACACCGGACGTGAACGGCAAGTAGGCTTGCTGCAATAGACGGTGTCTTCGGTTATACCGGTGTTAAGCCGCAAAACCAGTTACGTCATTTGCATACCGCGGCACCACCCCCCACCGTCGTTTAGATTTTTTAGTAGAAACAAAAATATTTTAGTCTAGTTCAGTTAGAGGACAGACACTTTTTAAAAACTAAATGCTCAATGTAGCATGCCGAACCGTGCGCGAACGACAGATTTTATTTATCACGTGAGGAGAGTGAGTCTAGCTGTCTGACAAGAGTGAGGTGAGAAAGACAAGACGATGGCAGAAGATTGTTTAGAAAGGAAATGCAAAGGCGCCTGTTTGGCAATAGATTTAGATATTGAAAAGCCTATTGACTGGAAGTTTTTTTTAAACATTCATTTCTTATTTATTTGATTCCACAGTGTTTTCTGATTTTCAGTTTTATATACCTATTTAAATTTTGTGTAGCCTAAGTAATTTGTTATTTTATTAGGCATATATGGTGTATTTTTATTCGTTTTGTTAATAAAAGTTATGAGTTTGACGTTGTTGCTTGAATTGAATCAATTCGAAAGTGAAAGTAAAATGTGCACGTCACTTTTACAAGCCATTTGAAAGCTAAGAAAAGAGGGTGACTCAAATGAACTAACACCCCCCTCCCACCCCAATGGTGATACCGGTTTTACCGATGTTGTCACACGTCAATTAACCGGTGGGAAAATGTCCTCACCGTCACAACCCTAACGGCAAGGTGCGGCGTGACATTACTATAGAACCCATTATAATCAGTGATGCGGTCTACACTGGATGCAGTGCGGCGCGACACGACATGGCAAGACAAATCCCCATCAGTAAACTGATGCCTCGTTCTATTTATGACGTACTGACTCAAATTTCAAATGATTTGCAACGGTTGCATTGTTGCGTTCAGTGTAGACATCCTCAAGCTGTTGTGGCACGACGCGACAAGACAGCTGTCGCATCCGGTGTAGACATGGTGTTAGTGTATCATGTTATACAGCCACTGGCAAGATGTGGGCTAGCCTGACTATGTCATAGCTTTGGGTGTGTCGCAGCACATAGAATCAAGCACACAGAAAATGTGTACCATTATCATCAAACACTCAGTGTAAATGAGCATATTATGATTTAAAAATAATTTTATTGTATTATCAAGATTGTGAAGCCTTGAATCTAGAGGAAGTGTGTGTGTTTTAGCAGGTTGAGATTTGCACAAATTCTTCAGCCAGATGGTGACTCAGTCTTTTTTATCGCATGTAGAGGTCACTCAGTCTCATCACGGATTAGACACACACGTGCTGTCATCCTGAGTGCTTTCAGATTCGCTCAGCTGGCTGGACGTGGAATGTCTTGGCAGTATTCTTGAGTAAACCATATTATTTTTAGCAGAGGTCAGAAAGACTCACTCCATCATACTGTCCTCAATCACCATATCCGAAAGAAAGCATTGTCTTTGTATCTGTCACTCTTGGTTTATGTCCTCTTTCTGCCTTTTTTTAAAATTTCAAACAAAAGACCATTGTTAGTTTTTGGCTGTAGGTTTCAGGTCTTTCTCCTGTTGCCAGCTGTTCTGCACTGTCAGTCCATTAATGGGTCGTCCTGACAGGTCACAGCTTGGTGCTAATGTGTTTCCCAACATTTTAACAGCTGAGCTCTTTGGACTTTCATGGTTAAAATCTGTTGTTGTATTTTACCTAATTTTCTAAGAATAATTGTAAAATAATTTTTATTTTCACGAGTAATTTTGTACTTTTTTGGATGCTTTGTCTGGTGAAATGTAACCGCACCTTCTCCTTGTAATACCTATGTTATACCTTTGTCATTATACAAATTTATGTCCTCATTTGTCACAAAAACACGCACACACACACACTTACTTAGCTGTCTAAATCATAACTTCTATTGTTTTTATTAAAGCTAATTATAATCACTAGAAACTAACCCAAATATATAATTACTTGAAACCCTGAATGAAAACTTTTTAGAATAAAATAAAGAAAAATATATTTAAAAAAATCAAAATGAGGGCATCCCAGAATATACCCAGAGGGCATTTTTTTTTGTCACATTTACTTTCTTGTAGGGACAATTTTGCCTCCCAACATGGTTAAGTACACACACATATAAACACATGTGCTCAAGTGTGTGCAAGCCTTCCAGCAAGGACATTGCTTACTTGGTTAATAAATAAGCAGCACTGCATTTTAATTGGATTAAAATTAATCATCTATTGAGTTCAACATACCACATAAGTGTACTATATAGAATAGTGTGTTACAGAGATTAAGTGTACTATAGAGAGAAGTACACTCAAAGTGTAACAAATAATGAAGAACACCTACTTCTTTTTTTGTGTGTCATGTCTTGTGACATTGGGGAGTTGGCAACTAGCCTTTTCCTCACAGAGCTGCCTAAAAACAGATATTGTATTCTTGTGACAAACCAATGATTTATTTAAATCTGGAAAGTGTGTGAGAGTGTATAATGGATAACTGGGTTATATTAGCTCTTATCATGATTGTGTTAACCATTGATTAATCAGGCTATTGATGTCTGTTACTGTAAGTCACATGGAATTGGCTGTAAAATTTACACACACACGCAAAGAAGTCCCCTCGATTCAGTGGACATTTATTTTTACCTTTCCTCCATCCCTCCATTTCTTTTATCAGTTTCCTGTCAGTGTGGGCCACACAGATGGTTTGGGTTAGTAAGCTTATGCCACAGAGAGCGTCAGAGAGGAAGGGTTACACACAGTGCTACTTTGCCTTCATATGAACCATTCTGCCTGGCAGTATTACCAACCAGAGTTTGCCGTTCCATGACGCTATTCCACTGAAACCATTCAAAACATTTGAATTCACATCTCCAACCACAAGATGTTTTCATACGCCCCCCTCACGCGTTTATCCTTAAACCTGCAAATCAGTTTTCACTGTCTTCTTTGGCTTTTAATATTATTCTTTTTTATTGGTAATTTTATATTATTATTCACATATGCACAACTACACCACAACTAACTGAAATAAAATTATGTAGCAATTTTAAGTTATATTTTTTGCCTTTTATTATGATTAGACAGTCGAAGAAAAGACAGGAAGTCATGGGAGAGGGAAACGGGTTCAGAAAAAAAACCTCAGATTGCTCAAAGCACTGTTGTGCTGACCAAAAAGCTATGTTTCTGACAAAATTATGTGAATTGATTTTCATGTATTTTTAATATTTATGCGCTTTGATCAAAAATGCATTAAAAACAGTAATATTGTGAAATATTAATACAGTTTAATGCATTTTATTCCTGTGATGGCAAATGTATGCTGATTTGCTGCTCAAGAAACATTTCGTAATATTATCAATGTTGAAATCAGTTGTGTTGCTTAATACCTTTGTTTTTTTTTCAGGATTCTTTGATTACTATAAAGTTTAAAAAACAGCATTAATTAGAAATATAAATCTTTTCTAACATTATAAATGTCTTTAATGTAATTTTACTGTCACTGATCAATTTAATGCGTACTTGTTGAATATTTAATCGACTTAAAAACTTAAATTTATTTTTAAATGTATCTTATGACCCTAACTATTCAAATAACTTTTGGTTGTTTTAATTGTGCTTATAAAAGTACTTCAATTACTCAACTGGTTTTCAGGTCATTTGAGTTTGAGACGGTTAATGTCCAGGCACAGTTTTGTACTTGTGACTTAAGGAGAGAGAAGTTTTTTTTTTTTGCATAGGTTTGTCAGGTTGAATTTGCTTTCACTTCTGTAAACAAGCACGATTTGCTTATTTTCCTTTCTTCCTCCTCATCAAATCAGTGCTAACTCAGGGTGTTTCATTTTACATCTCTCACCAAACAACAGCTACATTCACAACCGCACTTTCCACTTTCCCTTCCAAATCCATCCTTCCTGTTCTTTCTTCCTCTCTTTCAATTTCTTTAGTTTATCTTTGAATGAGTCGAATTCATGTCTATGTCTCAATCCCTTGTTCACGTGTCATGACACTTGACTGACAGTTTGGTTTAATATTTTGTCTAGGCTTCTTATTCTTATATTACAGTTTATTTGTATTTCCATCTTGGTGTTCCTTTCTCAAGGCTCTAATGTCTAGATTAGGAGAAAGTCGCACTCATTTTCCTCTCCTCCTTTTATTATTCCTGTCTTTTAATCCTGTGTGACAAATTGCTTCCTGCTCTGCTCTCCCTCTTACAGGAAGTCGACTTGTAGGCCCCTCTTGGGGGCCACTGCTGTGGATTCTGGGAAAAGAGTGGGCAGCAGTGGGTAGGGTTGGGATGGGTTTGATTGGACAGCTGTGGAAACCTTGTTGACACACACACACACACACATCTCACGACCCTCACCTCTTTACAGATCCACTACACCAGTCCAAACCTGGGTTCCAGCTGTGAATGTTGAAAAATAACTCTACTTTACAGTTTACAGACACTTCAAACACGCCTCGACATCTAACACATGCTCACTCACACGATCACACAACACAAATCTGTCTATAAATTTCAAAGAGTGGCTCATTCACTCAGAAGGGCACCACTGTTTAGACCACCAAAGGCCAACTACTGTAACCCTCACTTCCTGCTTTTTTATTTGTTTTTTTAGTCACTAACTATATTTTCCCTGAGGGAAAGGGTTGATAACAAGGTTTTGCATTCATGCCTGTACTTATAAAAATAAAGGTTCTTCAGCCCCATTAGAAACCATTCTGTTATCAAGAGCCATTCTTCACAGTGTAGGCCTCTTAAGTTGGATATGGTATTTTTCTTATCTTAAGTTATCAATCGTTTTTTCTTTCCATCTATCGTTCTATCTATTAATCTATCTATCTCTTAACTAAGGTTCTGTATGTCTGTCTATCTATCTATCTATCTATCGCTTAACTAAGGTTCTGTGTGTCTGTCTGTCTATCTATCGCTTAACTAAGGTTCTGTCTGTCTGTCTCTTAACTAAGGTTCTGTCTATCTTATCTATCTATCTATCTAGCTATCTATCGCTTAACTAAGGTTCTGTATATCTGTCTGTCTGTCTGTCTGTCTATCTATCTATCGCTTAACTAAGTTTCTATCTCTCTGTCTGTCTGTCTCTTAACTAAAGTTCTGTCTATCTTATCTATATTTATCTATCTATCGCTTAACTAAGGTTCTGTATATCTGTCTGTCTGTCTGTCTATCTATCTATCTATCTATCGCTTAACTAAGGTTCTGTCTATCTGTCTGTCTGTCTCTTAACTAAGGTTCTGTCTATCTTATCTATCTTTATCTATCTATCGCTTAACTAAGGTTCTGTATATCTGTCTGTCTGTGTCTGTCTGTCTGTCTGTCTATCGCTTAACTAAGGTTCTGTATATCTGTCTATCTTATCTATCTATCTATCTATCTATCTATCGCTTAACTAATGTTCTGTATATCTGTCTGTCTATCTATCTATCTATCTATCTATCGCTTAACTAAGGTTCTATCTATCTAGCTATCTATCGCTTAACTAAGGTTCTGTATATCTGTCTGTCTGTCTGTCTGTCTGTCTGTCTATCTATCTATCGGTTAACTAAGGTTCTGTATATCTGTCTGTCTGTCTGTCTATCTATCTATCTATCGCTTAACTAAGGTTCTATCTATCTGTCTGTCTGTCTCTTAACTAGGGCTGCACGATAAATCGCATGCGATATTTTTAGTGCACACTCTCTGTTGAGTATTACAGACTCCTGTACTGTCATGTCCTGAACAGAGGTAAGAGATAATCCGATGAGTCAGTATTTTATATCTCTCTATATCCTTTAAGTGAAATGAGGCGTGCGCCGACCTGGATCAGACATCGCCTGATGCTCCGGTTTTTCTGTTTAGCACCAAATGTCTGTCCTTTTAGGTCACCATCACAGACCTTTCTCAACCCCATATTCATAAAAAAACATTTTTAATTTTACTGATAGTCTAGACAGATAGTAAAACAGTTCTAGCCCCCGAGACATGAGTCATAAAGCTCATCTCCACATTTATACCCCATATCCATCCATAAGATATCTTACTGCCCTCTAAAGTCTCTATATAGTAGAGCATATTTATCTGTATCTGCTTGCTGGTCTCATTCCAGCAGCCTCTTGCAGAGATAGACCTCAGCTCATTTGATCTGTGTGTGTGTGTATGTGTGTTAATGCTGTCTAGATTAGGATGAGGGTTATTCTCATGCCTACGGGACAGAGAAGGTTTTTTGTTAAAAACCGGATTGTTGATCTTGATTCTGCTCAGATCCATGAACCGGTTCTGGCAGGTTCTGACTGGCTGATTCCAGTTCTCACTGCTCCTGTGATTTGGAGGCTTCCTCTTTTTGTGCTGCCTGCCTCTCTCTCATTCTCTCTCTCTTGCTGTCTCTCTTTTTGATGGATGTCTGTAAACTCTTGACTCCGTCTAAGCTTCAACTTAAATTAGAGAGTGATGCAAATCCACAGGGATCTACCACTGCATTTCCATTAAACGCATACACTTGTAAACAGACCTGTAAATAAATGTACAAAACATTGATAAGGTTCAAGATATTCAAAGAACACAAAAATATTCAGACACACAGCTATCGTATCTGAGGTCAACGAAGAGGCAACATACTCTTAGACTTAGATTGGCAGGCTTCAAAATACAGCATCAGAAAGACTGGAGCCATAATGCAGAGCAGATATTTAATTGTATATATTCATATCCATATTTTAAAATTTATATTACATTTTTCTTATCTATTTTTAAAAACACAAATTAATAACATCTTTAGGAAATCTCAAAATGAATAGCAATTTTTTATATGTAGACTAAATATTATAGAATTTTACTGTCAGCATTTTGTTATAGGTCATAGCATGAAAATAAGCTTCTTGGTATCGGCCAAAATATTGATATCAGTACATCATACACATGCATGCGTGTAATCAGACTCTCCTATCAGAGACACTGGGCCAGTCAGTGATCATATGATCTCTGGTTACAAACCATGATGTTTTTCCAGAGCATCAGAATGAGGAAATAAGTTTTCAGGACTCTCCATTTGATTAACTTAACAAATGGCTAATTTGGGTGAGAAACTAGCAAGTCCAGATAATTAGTGCCAAATGAAATTCTGACTTCAGATAACAAGAGATGCAGGAATGTCTTGTTTGATTAACCAACACGCGGTCACATTCAATTCCTCTGATGTGGCTCAAAGTGTGTGTGTGTGTGTGTGTGTGTTTCTGAGTGCCAGTGTTTCAGAGTGATTATCTATTTGTCACTGTCTGCTTCAAGGTGCTTGTGCTCCCAGCATTCCTCAAATCATGTATAATTTGTTAGCTAATGACGTCCTCTGACTAATCTTTTACCAGCTCATTACATGCTGTTATTCTGTTCTTAACAAGAGTCTTTTAGTCCAGGTATACAATTAGCCATTCACTAGACACTTGTTACCTTGATTTTTATCCATGTTCATGATGATAAGAGTTTTTTTTGTTTTTTTGCAGGAATCAAACTAGCAAGAAACAACCTTAGCAATTTGTGAAATTTCATCCCTGCTAGATATTACATGGTTAAATTTAGGAACTGCAGCAACTCTGCTCTGTAACATTTAGCAGAAGACCCCAAAAATTCCCAAAGGAACAGTCTAAAGTGTTGAGGAGTGTCCCACTAAGGTCCTTTATAGTATATTACATATATATTGAGCCCAGGGGAAAGTGGACCTACCCATAACATTTTTGTCCCAGGCCCTGTAAACTTTAGTGATGTCTGTTTGACAACTATTTTCTTGTCAGTACCTCTAGTCCACTCTTGTTCTCCTTGTCTCTTCCTAGTTCTCTCTTTGCGTGCGAGTGTCCTTGGCATCTCGTAGACACATTTATTTTCAGTCTTTTCCCTGGCTGCCAGACCGATAAAGCTCTGCCTGCCTGGCCGTGGTGGTGGAGGGATGTGCATGTGTGTGTTGTGTTTGTGTGTGAGATGTGAAATTTCTGCATATGTGGAGTGGTTTTGTTGGGGTCTGTTTTAGCAGCAGAAGTGTGACGCTGACCCCAACTTCCCTCAAGGAATAGGTGTGCATATATGTGTGTGTGTGTGTGTTTTTGGGGGCAAGGGGAGGGGGTTGTACAGTACTTACTGGGTTACAGTAGGCACATTGCTGATGTCTGTGTTGTGTTTCATGTTGTTCAGTCTGTCAGGAGTTCCTGAGGAGAAGAGAAGTCTCATCACACAGAAGAGTAAGATGAAGATGGACAAAGACAATGAGGTGCTTATGAAGGGTGAGGAATAAATTCTTCTACTTCACCAGATCAAGTCATATTTGTCATTATGGCTATAAAACTAAATGTATTGTTTGCATGCATTGGTGCATTTGTGTGTATTATGTCCCTCTTATTTTATTCTGCTGGTTACTTGGAATCATTAATCTGAAGTGAATTAGATTTAATACTTTTTTTCAGTTTTAAAGCATGTAGATTACAATTTCAAAGGCTGAAATGTGTTTTAAAACTTGTGACACTCTGGTAACTTTATCTTTAGTGAGTTAATCCCAAATCTGACTCATAACTTTCTCTACCCGGGTGTAGCAGGCTAAACAATGTCTATATACACACACACACACACACACACACACACACAGCTCTATCGTCTTTATATAAAGATATTTATAATTAGTATAAACTAACCCAAATAGACTGACAAGAAAATTAAGCAATATTGTTTACAGATATTAATGATTTTAAACCTGATCATTATTAGTAATTATCAGGTGTAGAGATAAACATACAACTGTTCAAAAGTTAATTATTAAAAAGGTATTTTAATGTTTTTGAAAGACAAATTATACTTACCAAGGCTGCATTTATTTGATCAAAAATATAAAAAATATTATGAAATATTATAAAACAACTATTTATATTTGAATATATTTTCAAGTGTAATTTATTCTTGTGATAGCTGAAATTTCAGCAGTCATTACCTTCAGTGTCAAATGATCCTTCAGAAATCACTCTAATATGCTGATTTGCTGCTCAAGAAACATTTCTCATGATCAATTTGAAAACATTTGTGCTGCTTAATATTTTTGTGAAAATCAAGATCCTTTGATGAATAAAAAGTTCAAAAGAACAACATTTATTTGAAATAGAAATCTTTTGTAACATTATATTCAGAATTTACATTTACAGTAATATTCAAGTAATACTGAGTCAAAAAACTAGACAATATTTATCGGTTGACAGTGCATCAGTTATTGTACACTTAAAAACAATCAGTAGTACAGTGGGTATAGAAAATACCCCCCCCCCCCTTAAAATAATCAAATTTGGTTGCTTTGCAGCCTGAAATGAAGATGGACACAGTTTTTGTTTAATCCAGCTGCATTTACTCAATGCAACTTATAACATTCAAGTGAAAGATATAACACCAGAAAAAAATAAAAAATAAAAAACAGAACCACTGAGTTGGAAAAAGGATCACCCCGTCCTAAAAATGACTTGTAAACTCAATCAGGTGTAGCTTATCACCTTCTCAATGGCACACAAAGCCCTTTGACTTTCAACTGTGATCAGCTGTGGTGATTTTGATCAGCTCAGCATGAAAAGATGATGTTATAAGTTGATTATAAGAGTAAATACAACTGGATAAAACAAAAATTGTGTCCATCTTCATTTAAGGTAGCAAAGCAAAATGTGGTTATTTTAAAGGGGGGGGGATTCTTTTCTATATCCACTGTATTCATTGTGAAATTGAATATTGGTCAATCTGTGATTCCTACGTCTACCATTAAAACCAAATATTTTGCATTCTAAAAAGTATACATATTTAGAAATATAGTTTTTTTAAAAGTATATACTCAAATGTACCAAAAGGAAGTTTTTGTTAGCTTTAGCTCGCTTTCGGGATAATCCCCAGTACACACACATGCATCAGTTATAGCTTGCAGTTTTATCAGTGACACATGAATTGACTGACACACTTCACACATCACCTTCTCAATGGCACACAAAGCCCTTTGACTTTCAACTGTGATCAACTGTGGTGATTTTGATCAGCTCAGCATGAAAAGATGATGTTATAAGTTGATTATAAGAGTAAATACAGCTGGATAAAACAAAAATTGTGTCCATCTTCATTTAAGGTAGCAAAGCAAAATGTGGTTATTTTAAAGGGGGGGGGATTCTTTTCTATATCCACTGTATTCATTGTGAAATTGAATATTGGTCAATCTGTGATTCCTACGTCTACCATTAAAACCAAATATTTTGCATTCTAAAAAGTATACATATTTAGAAATATAGTTTTTTTAAAAGTATATACTCAAATGTACCAAAAGGAAGTTTTTGTTAGCTTTAGCTCGCTTTCGGGATAATCCCCAGTACACACACATGCATCAGTTATAGCTTGCAGTTTTATCAGTGACACATGAATTGACTGACACACTTCACACCAAGTTAACCAACACTAAAGCTGCTGACCACAGATTTAAGTGTGTGTGTGTGTTATTCAGAGTCGTCTATGATTTCAGAGTGTGTAAATGTGAGTGCTGTGTGGTATTTGCTGCACTGGAGTGGTAATAATACTCAGTCACATGTAATGAGTAATAATATGCAGGGTAGAGTAATATTAGTGTAGAAGGGTCCAAATACTCCGCCAGCCTGTCTCATGTTGGCCCACAGAGCTGTTAAATAAGACAGTCTTACCCCAGTCTGTCTGGCTGACTCACACACACACACACACACACACACACACACATACACACACACTCAAATATTCAAAGGGAAAGGTAGCAGGTGCAATGCATCTGCAAGCAGCAGCGGAAAAAAGGTAACATGGTCCGGGTGTCATGAGGGTTTACAAAAAAAAACGCTTTTCCCATGAAATGTTTCTTGATTATTGGCTCTGATACACATTTGTGCATAGACAACAAACTTTTTGAAGGTTTGGAGGGAGATTTTATCCCCAGTGTGACCTTAACACAACCCTCTATTAAGTTGGGTGAGCGGTGGTTTGGTGCTGTTCTGCTTTTTTCCATGATCACTCAGTCTGACTCTGCATGAGCACCATGAACTAGCTCTCAAAGAATGATATTTCAAATTACACATCATTTATTTCTGTCAGGTTTTGTAATGGAAATCTCCATATTCTCAAATGATTGGTCTGTTACAGTATTTATCATGTATAATATGGGTCTTCTTCTCTGTTTTGCTTTCCAGGCTGGCTCCTGCGGGAGGTGCAGGGAGGTTGGCTACGGCAGAGGAGGTTCTGGTTTGTGTTGACAACAGACTCTCTTGACTACTACAGCGGCCTGGACAGAGATGCTCGCAGACTGGGCATGCTTGTACTCACATCCCTCTGTTCAGTGCTGTGGCCGGATAAACACACCTACAAACAGACAGGTAATGCACCTGCAATTAAACTAGGACAGCCTCAGTCACCCTCCCTTTTCATTGAACACGCTCTCAGAAAAAGTGTGCAAGATTGTACATTTATGGGTTCAACAGCTTGTCACGCCAGCCATTCATAAGTTCTTTCTTAAATTATAAAGTTAAGTCCACACTAGAGGCTTAGTAACTACTAGCTAGTTTGTAATGAAATCTATACATTATTCGGTTGCACCAATTGCACCAGTAGTAGTCTGTAAGCTCTCCGTAAAGTAATGCGTAGTTGCATATGACGTTTACCCTAAATGATCCAATAGAAACCTTCAAATAAACAAGCAGAATTTGTTTAAATGCTGTGAATTTCAGTTTATCCTTCACTCTAACTTCTTTTGCCTCATGTAACTAATGGTAAAAATAAGTAAAAACGGTAAAAATGATACTACTTAATCATGAATAACATTAGCCTATAGGTAAGCTATTTTTATATGTAAATAGCATTCAGAAACTGTAATTGAAATGAATAAGGATCAATAAATATTGAAAGAAAAAAAAACATAAGAAATGCCATTTATGTATTATGGATGATTTCATTTGACATGTACAACATGGACCGAAGCACACAGAGGCGCGCTGTAGATGGGGTGTTGAAGAAGCGCTAAAAAAGAAACAAAGTACGTTGATTCACATATTGTTCTCTCTCTTCATATGTATGTGAGTGTAAATGTCAGTAGCGTCACATATGTCTAAAGGATTGAAGGTTGTCGGTTAAAATAAGAGCATATGGATGCAGTTCACACAGTCTTGCTGTTTTATTCCAACCGTTACTCCTGACCGGACGCTTCCATAAATATTTAGTTTATACGTAGAGTTATGCTTCAACTAAGTGTAATGGTGCAACAAAAAAATATTTAGTAGTGCGTAAGTTTTAACTTAATGCCCATTTCAAAACTAGGCTAAGTTGTAACTTGAGTACAGCTGGTGCAGCCAGCCCCTGGAAGGATCATAGTACCTTGAGGGTACATGTTATTTTTCTAAAGAACTAATATGTACATTTTAGGCATTAAATGATGAACACGTCCCCTGTTTTCTCAGGACTTCAGTGATGATTTTAAGGTTGTTCTGGTGATTTCTATCTTATATTATTCCATTTTTTTGAACTTCATAGCTTCATAACCACAATCAACCTCTCCTCAACCATGTTTGACACAGCAAAAATATACTGACAAAATCTCTGTCGATATGAATAAACACCCCTGAGGAGATGACGGGTACATTTAACAAGAAAATACAATTTCGGATTTTCTACTTCAGAATGTCAAGTTTAATTCAAAGTGTTACTTGCGGTTTCTTTGTAATTGTTTGTGAAATTTACTAGTGAGTTCTATGTGAAAATGGTATGTAATTTTATTTTACTTTTTCAGTGATGGAGAATTTGAAGTTCATTGTGTGTTCCCTAGACATTTATAGAATTTATAGAACATATTGATGTATTGTTCTCTTCAATCTATTCCTTAAATTTTCTTTATTTGGTCTTAAAAAGGTTTTTAAAAAGTCTTCATAAAACCTCCAGAAACCCTGGATGACTTTATTCGCTTGTCACTTTTTGTGTAGTTCGTGGTGTGATGGTGTGAGCCAAGCTTTCAGTGGAAGATAAACACAATATTTCACTCACTATTTTAGGATTTGTACTCACAGCGACATGCATTTTTTTTCGGAGAGAGCTGATCTTTTGGTCAGATCAGAGCAGCCGTGAGACCTCTTGTCGGCATTGGTGTGAAATCTTTCTTGTGGGAAGACTTTGATTGAGGAAATTAAATGCAGGATTGTTTGAGAAGACCAGAAGAGAAATGAAGGCAGACAAACGAGAGCCATTGTTGTCTGGGAAGATGGTAGGGAATGACCAGACAGACTCATAGGCTTAGTCATAATGTATCTCTGTGTGTGTGTGTGTGTGTGTGTGTGTGCTCACATGGCACATGTTCAGCTGGAGTTCTGAATCACACACACACACACACACACACACACAAACTTTCAACCAGCACAGTCCACAAAACTCAGAGCTTTTCCCAGATTCACTTTAGGGACTTTCCTAGATAAAAGTGTGTGTGAGCATGTCTGACAGTAAAGCTTTTGTGTGTTTTGTGTGTGTGTGTGTGTGTGTGTTTGTGTGTTCAAGGGCAGCGGTTGGTCAGGAGTCATTCATTATCCAGCAGAGTGGACACGATGGAAACGGTTTCTTCTTTTAACAAACAAGTTGTCTTATAATATCATGGCTAATGCTTTGGCTCGTCCACAGAGTAAAACAGATCTTTTAATGAAAGAATTAATGAGGTACAGTTTTGTGGCAAAGAAATTGCAGATGTTTACAGTGGACAACAAATATTTTGGTAATATTCTGTAAATTTTAGAACACCCATTGGTTCTGAAAAAACTGGAAATATCAAGGAATGTAACCATGAAATAGTCATAGAAATTAAATTCCACAGTGAATATACATTGTTCTGCTGTAAAAGATTTCATTTTGCTTTTTGTGAGTGCTTGTGTAGAGCGAATACTTGCCCCCAAACAGTCTAGAGAGATTGTTGGGCTTTATGGAGATTGGTGTGTCTTTATTAAACAGAGGTGGAAAGAGTACGAAAATATTCTACTCAAGTAAAAGTACCATTACATTAATGAAATTTTACTTAAGTACAAGTAAAAGTACCAGTCTAAAAATCTACTCAAGTAAAAGTAAAAAGTCGCTAATTTAAAATTTACTCTGAGTAAAAATTACTTAGTTACATTTTAACAGTGGGAGGGAGGAAAAAATTGGATATAGGCCAAGGGTGTCAAACTCAGCCCTGCACAGTTTAGATATAACCCTAATTAAACACATCTGATCCCGCTAATCTAATCATTTAGGCTTATTTGAAAACTAATATGTGTGTTGGAAGTCAATTCTGCGTTTGAAACCCCTGGGATAGGCCTATAAATATCAAACTAGTTGTTTTTAATTAAAGGAATCAGTTATTTAGAATAATAAGACATTTGGGCTGTTACCAGGCAAATTAAATCAGTATCAACAAAATTCATCTTTTCAATGCAGAGGAAACACCGAAGCTTCATCGGAAGTGGCATTTGGATGTATTTACACACTGTTTAATGCAGGACATGAATGCATTTAACCTGCAGTTACAAATGCAGAAATAATGTTTTGATATATAAGACATAAAATGTTGAATACTCATTTGAAATTATAAGGGGGAAAAAAAAATCAAAAGATACTTTAAATGTGAAATTAAAATCACCAGTAGGTGTCAGCAAGTCACTGTTAATAAGTGAGTCATTGCGATTGAGCTGAATCATTTAAACGGTTGATAAATTCAGGAACAAAATTTTGTTGCTCTTGTTGCTCAGAGATGCACAACTGTGCTATGGTGGCTGTGTTTGGAATTATTTTTGTTGTAGAAATAGAGCAAAAACAGGCAATATGGTGTCTAAAGCGCAAGTCTTTTAATTAACTTCTTGTTTATTGAACTGTTGTAAATCTATATGTAATCATGCTGATTTTTGGAGGACAAACGGCATTCTTCGTGTGAGATTGATTTACTATATGAAATTATATAAATATATACATTTTCTGCCCCTATATCTTCAATTTTGTGATAATTCTAAATGCATTTTAACAGAATAAATCACGCAGTGAAAGAACGCAGTCTATGGTCTAAACGCACGCACACTAGTCTAATCTACTAGACTTCACGGCACTCTGTTGGAGTGTTTTGTTTGGTTTTTGGCAAAATACTGATAATGTCAAATCGCACATCGTTAAAACAACAATTACGATATTATCGCAGGCGATATATATCACACACTCTGCACCACTGTCTTTTTGGCTAATTTATGCAAAACCTCTTGCTAAACTGTCAAAGCTTCATTTTAACCACCAGTGCAACAATGCAAGTATTTACCTTACCTATACATGCTTGCGAAGGTTTGATGTCGAGATTTTATAAGCTGCTAGTTTGGTCTCCCTTGGCAAACACAGCTTACACTGCATAATAGAGCTTAAATATGACCAGGAGTTCACTTCATTTCCTTCGAGTTCAACTTCAGCAGAATACGACGGGGTTTCGTTTTCAGCTGGGTCTGCACCACTAATGCCTGTCTTGTCCGTCTGCATCTTTCTTGTGATTTTAGCACCAGTTTGCTCTCCTGCCCATTATTTACTGCAGTAGTTTCCAGGGAGTGATTTTTTTTTTACTCCGTAATTAATGTGTTTTAAAATGTAGTGAAGTACAATATTTCAAACTAAATATACGTGAGTAAAAGTAAAATTAAAGATTAAAAAAATTACTTTAAAAAGCAGAAGTACACAAAAAGCTACACAATTACAGTAACGCGAGTAAATGTAATTCATTACTTTCCACCTCTGGTCTATTAAAGCCTAAGTTTTGAACCAAAGCTTCATTCTTTTGACTGCCAAAGTTAACAACAAGGGAGAAACAAGATATTAGTAAGATCCTCATAAAAGATCTCTCTCAGAACTTTTGATCACATTTACTGCAGGTCAGACACATGAAATATGAGTTGTCATAATGCTGGAGCTCTAGTACATTTGTCTTCAATCAGAAACAGTATAACCGTATGTATGCTTTATTGCATTTTTTTGTTTACTTTTCTTTATGTATGTACTGTCCTAATTGTAAGGAGATGCTATTTTTGTATTGAAGAGTAGCACTAAATATGGGCCTCTTTAATGTGTATGTGACAGGTTACTGGAGTCTGACAGTGTATGGCCGCAAACATTGCTACAGACTCTTCACAAAGCACTACAATGAGGCGGTGCACTGGGCGTGTGCTGTGCAGAAAGTCATAGACAGCAAAGCGCCGGTCGAGACGCCAACACAGCTCCTCATACGAGACATTGAGGTGAGAGAACAAGCAGCAGTGGAGATGAAGACGACAGCATATCAAGAGGGATTATAAATATTGCAAACACAAACGCACACTTTTATTCAAATAAATGCTGTTCTTTTGAAATTTCTATTAATTAGAGAATCCTGAAAAGAGTTTCCACAAAATATTAAGCAGGACAACCGTTTTCAACATTAATAAGTAATGATTCTTGAGCAGAGAATCAGCCTATTAGAATGATTTCTGAAGGATCATGTGACACTGAAGACTGGAGTAATGACTGCTGAAAATTCAGCTTTACCATCACAGGAATAAATGACATTTTAAAATATATTCAAATAGTAAACAGTTTAAATTCTTATAATATTTCACAATATTAAAATTTTTACTGTATTTTTGATCACATAAATGCCCCCTTGGTGAGCACATAAGACTTTTTCAAAAATATTTTAAAAATCTTATCGACCCCAAATTTGGGAAAATAGTGTATAATGTAAGAAAATATACAAGTTTTTTTTGTCTCCACTGTATATACATGTACATATATATTTATATATGTATATATGTGTGTATATATAAATGGCATCTTAGCTCCTAAAGAAATGTTCAGGATGGCAAACATATACAGACACGGTGTGTAAACCATTTAAACCCCACCCACTGTCATCTCTCTGCCCCAGAATATTATTGTTAGTTTGTTGGCTAGTGATTTTACACTTATAGATGTGCTCATCAGTATCATGTGTCTCTGGAAATAGTTTTGAAGGCAGCGAGTAGCTCTTGAGAATAACCCTGTTGTTATGATGTAATGCCTGCACTCTTGGATAGATCTGTATTAATAGGATGCTAGTTGCTAGCCCACAGAATTCCCCGGAATCCCATTGAGGTCGTACATAAACGGGCAGACAGACAGGCAGACAGGCGTGAAAACCGCAGTGGTTGAAATGTTAAGTGCCCAGACCCCTAAATGACCTTGCTGATTGCTATATATCTCTTATAGGTAAGATATGTATGCATATTAAATATTTAAACAAAAATATAAGGAAGGCTATTCTCAATGTAGTCTTGGCTAAAAGACACTATATTTTTGCCTTGTTGTGTTTTTTTAAATAAAAAATTATAATTGTACAATAAAATATTCATGAAGCATTGTGTTAAGTATCAGTTAGAAGATATAGTTCTGACATGTAACCTTAAGTTAATATCTGTTTGTACTATTTATTTTACCACTCGCAAACTCAAACACACAGTACATAGTGGTTATGGCAGGAGGTCTTGTCACGTTTAACTGCTCTTAGTTTGGTTGATCATGTCTGTTATAAGCAAACACCCCACAACAAACATAAACTGCCCTTATTCACCCTTGAAATGTACACAGCAGTTTTCATTATTCATACATACACAGAGCAGGCCTTGACCAGAGTTGTCAGATCCATCTGTAAACTGAAATCTGTTTCCATTTCATTCATCCCCCCTCAATCCATTTTCCATATAAAACGTCATTTCATCATTTCATTATGGACCCCATAACAAAGAGGTCAAGTATTTATGGGGACATAATGATAGTCTTGAGTTTATTTACTTCAAGGTGTTTCATTGGCCTTGCATTGCTTTGTGTGTGTTTATGTGCATTGTATAGGAGAATAAATTCAATCCAGAGGTTGTGGAGCACATCTATGAGCATAATCCCATCCTGAGGTACACGCAGAGCCCCCTCTATGCCCCACTGTTGCCTTTCCCCTACGGCAGCCTCCACCACACACGTGAGTCAACCACACACATACTCACATGGCATATATCACATATACCCACCACTGGTTTCAATGAACCAATCAGATTAGACACCCCCCCCTCTTTCTACAACCCTGCCGTTTTGGTGTATCCATTGTCACCCAGCTACCTGTCAAGTAGAAGTAAAGCAAAGGCAAAGCCGTGTTAAATTATAAAATATTTATGTCTCCTCCCCTTTGAAACAACATCTCTTCTCTGATGACCTTTCCCCTCCAAAAATTAGCTGACATGAGGCCAAATTTGCTGACATGCAACACATAACCATCCAACGATCAAATCAATTTCCGATAGACAAAATCAAGTCCCATCCTATAATTTTTTTTTCTTGGATGTTATAAGTTGCAGTGAGTAAATACAGCTGAATAAAACAAAAACTGTGTCCATCTTCATTTCAGGTGGCAAAGCAACAAAATTAGATTATTTTAAAGGGGGGTGATTCTTTTCTATACCCACTGTATATATGTATATATGTATTAACACACCTCGTCTTGCTTTTCTTCTTAGATATGGCAAGTAAAGGCTACACATCCATCCGTGAAGAGGCGGTGAGGCTTTTTAACTGCCTCCAGCAGTTAGAGTTGGCCCGTGAGCCCATTCCTCTCATACAGGGGATTCTCCAGACCTGCCTCGACCTCCGGCTGCTCCGAGATGAACTCTACTGCCAGCTTATCAAACAGACCAGCGTCACCAACTTGCGTGTCCAGACACAGACGCGGACACAGCCGAATCCGCAGCTCAGATACTGGCAGCTGCTCACCTGCATGAGCTGCACCTTCCTGCCCAGCTGCAGCATACTCCGATACCTGCGCTTTCACCTGAAGAGGTGAGTTACGCATATCACATCTGTACAATGCACTGGATGTGTACACTCACAAATCCACCAGCCGGATCTCAACATACACACATAAACGTTACCTAAGCAGTCCTTGAGTATAAACACGCACAACTGCCTCCGGTTCTGCGGTCGAGTGTGTAGGAATTATGGGCTGCCTGAGGTTGACAGGAATGTAAAGTGCACTTCCTGTTCACTCGTTCTTTTCCTCTCCTCAAGGGGCTGGGAAACGGCATGATGCTTTCTGCATCTCATGGCTAACTTACTCGTAAAGTACTGCCAGGCCTGGAGGATAGACAGAAAATAAGAGAATGGCTAAATAAACAAGTGTGCCGTGAGGAAATGGTGCGTTGACCACAGGGCTTTGATTACAGAGGCGGCTGGTGTAATGGAGACGGACGAGTTTCTGTTCTCCTGAGACCCCCAGACGTTTCCCGCATGTGTTTACTTAACACAAATAGGGCCTCTGCTATGCATGTAATTACCAAGTGGCTGACACTTCATATCGCAAATAGATAAACTAAACAGAGGCGCCACACAACTTCTCTCTGATTTTTTTGGAGGGAAATTTTGTGATTTGGATGTGAAATTCTGTAAATGGTCTCTGTAAAGTTTTTAAAAACTCTTTCTTTTGCTGTCAGGGTTCAGAGTTTGAATGTGGACCCGGAGGTGGAGAGCTACGCGTCCTTCATAGCCCAGGCTCTGGAGAAGACACGCGGCCGTGAGTGTGTGCCCTCATGGGAGGAGATCCAGGGGCTGATGGGAAGGCAGGAGATACTGTGTACTGTGCACTACCCTGGACCGGGCTGCTGCCAGATACCGATCACCTCACACACCACAGCTAATGAGGTATTGCATCAACCATTTCCTCTGTAGCAGAGGTTGATGGGAACCTTAAGCCACACAAAGGATTAATCATTAGCACGCAAGTAATAAGTACCAGACAGATGTATTTATTTATAAGTGTACTGATTTTAGTAATGTTGAATTCTGTTTTTGCAATTATCCTTCCACAAAAATTTAAGAATATGTATCATTTTTATTAATTTGCTCTGCTACTTTTACATAGATTTTTCTCTCTTTCAATCAATTGTTGTTATTGTTAACTAAAATGATTACTTTTAAATCAGTTGTTTTTTTTAATTGAAATAAAGCTAAAATAAAATGAAATATAAATATTAGATGAAAAAATTAAACTAAGTGACTTAAATTTAAGTACTAAAATTATTAAAACTAAACTAGAATTAAAATAACAGAAAACATAAACTAATAAAATTAGTAACAAAAATTTGTAGTAAAACTGAAAATATAAAAATAAAAGCGAATTCAAAACATGAATAAATACTATAATAGTATATAAATAATACTTAAATAACACTGTTTCTCACTCTCATTTTCTCTCCAGGTCGTGAGGAAGATGGCGGAACGCCTCGGGCTGCAGGAAAGCCGAAACACATTTGCTCTTTTTGAGCAGAATGCATGCTGGGAAAAAGCTATCGGAGGCAGCACCATAATCGCCGATGTCATCGCCAGATTCGAAAAGTAGATATTTTTAATAAATATCTTCCACCTATTGTAATATGTGTAATACAGCAAATGTACTGAACCAAAAGTATCATGGCACTATAGTTTGCTGGACATGGTGCCATGGCAATACCATGCATTTGAACCTTAACCATGATAATACTATGGTATTTTTTAAATACTATGTTAAGACCACAGGAGTATGGTAATCAATCAGTACCATAGTATATGTGAAGTTACAATGATATTACCATCCACGATAGCACCACAGTACAGTAAAGTGTAGATCTGTGTTTTTATTGATTTATTCACTTTCCCAGCACTTTAGCACAGTTTAACTAACCCCCCACACACACACTGTGAGAATAGACAAGCAGCTCTTTATTAGTATTCAGTGTTCCAGTAGGGATCTCAGGGTGAGACTGATGTCATGAGCATTAACTGATGTGGAAAGCAAACTGAAGGAGAGATAAGCCAAGCCAGCCAGAATTCAAGGCATCCACTTTATTCTGGGAAGTGTGTTTGTTTGCCTGTGTTTTTGCACGTCTCAGTGCCAACTCTTCCCAGAAGTGGGTTCATGGACGCACGCGTAGTCTTTCTCTCACACTCATATTATGTGTACACACACACACAAACAAACCCGCATGTGCAAAAATGCACAGGCAGCAGAAAAGGCTTAGCAAATCAGGGTGAGTCATATAATTCAGAATGATGACGCCACTCTGATGGGGTGACTTTAGTCGTGTGTTTAGGAAGCGCCTGCAAATGTCTCTCCTTAGACTTGGACATAGTTTAAGACAAAGACATACTTTAAGTGTGCTTTAGAAGGGGTTAAATAAAAAAGTTTATTATACAGAGGCTCTCAACCAGGGGCCGAGGCTATCTTCAGATGTGTATCTGATTCATATGCATTTTCCATTAACAAATCTCTCTCTGTCTTCCAGTTTGTCAGCTAAAGATCCAGACTCTGACTGCCAGTGCCGACTCTGCTTCAAACTGTATTGTCTGCTGGACACCGACAACATCAGTACAGACAGCATTGAGTACCTCTTCCTCTATGAGCAGGTAAAACGACAAGAGACGGGTGGGGATGAGCAGAAATGAGAAAGCTGAATGTAGATTATTGAAAGTCATGAATTTTGCAACATTCACACTGTTAATGAACTGAATTGAATCAGCGTTGAACTGGCTCGAGCTGAATAACGACACTACTGTCTTCAGTAGATCTGCTTATCATGGAGTCTAACTTGTTTCAATGACGAATGAACTTTACAGTTATCAACACTGAACTGACTGGAGCGGAATAATGACTCTATTGTCAGATTTTTGGATTTGCCTCATTTTTGAAGTTTGCGTCAATGATTTTGTTACTTTGCTGTTCAATACTGTGAAGTAGCTTTGAAACAATCTCTACTGTAAAACTAAAGTGCTATAAAACTAAAGGTGACTTGACTGTTGATTATAAAATATACGGCGAAAAAGTCTGATAGAAGACTAAAAGAGAAATGGCCATTTTGTGTTTTATAAAAGACTAATAATGGATATCTTCCTCTGAACATTTATATTACAAGTTTGGATCTGTCTGCAGACATCCATTTAAGACACTATATATATATATATATATATATATATATATATACACACATAAACAAAAGAGAACGGCTCGAGCGTAGAAAAAAAGAGGGATTTTCCAATTCTTCCTCTGTTTGTGTTAAATGCGAACTAATTTCACACTTGTGTGGACAGATGTGTGCATAACGTGTTTATTAGTCAAGTCAAGTGAAAAGCACCATACAAACACTGCACACTAGTGAACTCTGTAAACTTTCCCTTGTTTGACTTCCTCCTTCCTCTCTCTGTCTCAGTGTCATGAGATGGTGGTGCGGGGGCAGCTGCCAGCCTGTGAGGATGACCTTCTTTCCCTGGCGGCGTTGAGACTGCAGTGTCTACTGGGAGATTTCAGCGCCCTCTCACCTTACCCACCCTTGGAGCAGCTCTTTCCGGCTGAAGTGGTGGAGGCCCGGGCCCTATTGGCCCCTGTCGATCCCCCTGGCTGCCCTTCCTTCCCCGGGGGTCTGCTGGCTGGGACGCTGTGGGGACACAAGCGGCGACAGGAACAGGACCAAAGACTGCGGGCCAGACTAAGGGAAGAGGGAGCCGTGGTGATGTCGGCCATTTTGGAGTGCTGGAAAGCCCTGGCGGGATACAGTCGCAGAGACAGCATGGCCGCCTATCTCACCATCGCCCGGCAGTGGTCCGGGTTTGGCTGTACGCTCTATGAAGTGGACTTCTACATTGTGAGTGGTTCCCACAATGTAACTGTTTTCAACATTGATAATAACAAGAAATGTTTCTTGAGCGGCAAGTGAGCCTATTAGGATGATTTCTGAAGGATCATGTGACACTGAAGACTGGAGTAATGGCTGCTGAAAATTCAGCTTTAAAATCACACACTTTAAAAATATATTCAAATAGAAAACATTTATTTTGAATTGTAATAATTCACAATGCTATTTTTACTGTATTTTTCACCAAATAGATGCAGCCTTGATAAGCCTAAGAAACTTATTTTAAAAGCATTGAAAAAAGTTTGAAACATTTGTACCACAGGATTCTTTTGCCAGAGACTCAGAGCTGTGCCTATCATCTTCCTGTTTCTCATAGAGCTCGACAGGAAGCTTCTCCCAGAAGTTGTGGCTGGGCGTGGCGGCTTCCTGTGTGTCTCTGTATCGTCAGGGTGAGGCTGAAGCGTTGGAGTCTCTGCCGATTGGTCAGATATGTTCCTATGGCGTCTCTGATAGCAACACATTCAGGATCACTGCAGGAGACAGAGATCTGCTCTTCGAGACCTCCAAGGTAAGCAGGCTGCATAGTGGTTATATCATCAATATCCCTAACTGGAATCACAACTAATGCACTAAAGTGACTAAAACTAAAGTAAAAATAAAGATTAGTAATTTTTTTAAGTAATAAAAATGTATACAATATTTTTTAAGTAATAAAAATGACAAAAACTTGGACTAAAATGAAAACTAAAAATATAATAATTCCAAATATTAGTAAATGCTATAATAATATATAAATAATACTGAAATACTGACAGCCACAAAACCACCCAAAATACCACCTTTGCATCAGGAAAATAACACTTACATTTCTTCAGTAAATCTAAAACTTTTAAAGAATAAAACTATTCCCATAGCATTTTATATACACAGATGGTAGCTCTACCTATCATAGTTTCCCTCTAGCAATAATGGAGAGATGCAACTTGGCCTTCATTTTAGCATCATGCATGCATACTATTAGGCCAAAATACTCCAGATATAATAGGGGAAGCATATACCCACACAGAGTTTTAGACCGAAACACATAATATGCATGTTCTGTAAATTCGTAAAAGTAAGAGTAAACATATGAAACATGCAACCTTGGATAGTTCTAAACTAGAAAGACGTTGACATCAATGTGTTTGTATCTTGTACTACAAACCTCCTTCCAGCACTCAAACAATACAGGTCAGACCAGCTGTGTCTTTCAGTGTGCTCACATGTGGAAACACTGAGACAACCAGTCTACCTTCTTCTGATATTAGCTGCAGGCTAACGCCCATCCTGTGCCGTCACTCCTGTGCACTTTAACCTGATAAATCTCTTGAGTTTTCATGCTAAACCATTTGCCTTCACATCTGCCTGCCTTCTGAGTGATGCAAGAACATCTCTGCTAGCTCACACCTACACTGTTAATGACGTCCAGTCATTGTCAGTCATCAACGGTCGCCTATAGCTGTTCTGATCCATAATCACTCATATGGATGTCAAAATAACAAATCAAAAATGTTTAATATGACAAACAAGTGCAACTGTCAGTGGATTTCATTTGGTGTTTGATTGCTGTCATAAACTAATCATAAATCATAAACTAAACAATTCTTTCTTAAAATAAATAAATAAATAAATATATATACACACACACACAGTGGGGCAAAAAAGTATTTAGTCAGCCACCAATTGTGCAAGTTCTCCCACTTAAAAAGATGAGAGAGGCCTGTAATTTTCATCATAGGTATACCTCAACTATGAGAGACAAAATGAGAAAAAAAATCCAGAAAATCACATTGTAGGATTTTTAAAGAATTCATTGGTAAATTCCTCTGTAAAATAAGTATTTGGTCACCTACAAACAAGCAAGATTTCTGGCTCTCACAGACCTGTAACTTCTTCTTTAAGAGGCTCCTCTGTCCTCCACTCATTACCTGTATTAATGGCATCTGTTTGAACTTGTTATCAGTATAAAAGACACCTGTCCACAACCTCAAACAGTCACACTCCAAACTCCACCATGGCCAAGACCAAAGAGCTGTCAAAGGACACCAGAAACAAAATTGTAGACCTGCACCAGGCTGGGAAGACTGAATCTGCAATAGTTAAGCAGCTTGGTGTGAAGAAATCAACTGTGGGAGCAATTATTAGAAAATGGAAGACATTTTCAAAGACATACAAGACCACTGATAATCTCCCTCGATCTGGGGCTCCACGCAAGATCTCACCCCGTGGGGTCAAAATGATCACAAGAACTGTGAGCAAAAATCCCAGAACCACACGGGGGGACCTAGTGAATGACCTGCAGAGAGCTGGGACCAAAGTAACAAAGGCTACCATCAGTAACACACTGCGCCGCCAGGGACTCAAATCCTGCAGTGCCAGACGTGTCCCCCTGCTTAAGCCAGTACATGTCCAGGCCCGTCTGACGTTTGCTAGAGAGCATTTGGATGATCCAGAAGAGGATTGGGAGAATGTCATATGGTCAGATGAAACCAAAATAGAACTTTTTGGTAAAAACTCAACTTGTCGTGTTTGGAGGAGAAAGAATGCTGAGTTGCATCCAAAGAACACCATACCTACTGTGAAGCATGGGGGTGGAAACATCATGCTTTGGGGCTGTTTTTCTGCAAAGGGACCAGGACGACTGATCCGTGTAAACGAAAGAATGAATGGGGCCATGTATCATGAGATTTTGAGTGAAAACCTCCTTCCATCAGCAAGGGCATTGAAGATGAAACGTGGCTGGGTCTTTCAGCATGACAATGATCCCAAACACACCGCCCGGGCAACGAAGGAGTGGCTTCGTAAGAAGCATTTCAAGGTCCTGGAGTGGCCTAGCCAGTCTCCAGATCTCAACCCCATAGAAAATCTTTGGAGGGAGTTGAAAATCCGTGTTGCCCAGCGACAGCCCCAAAACATTACTGCTCTAGAGGAGATCTGCATGGAGGAATGGGCCAAAATACCAGCAACAGTGTGTGAAAACCTTGTGAAGACTTACAGAAAACGTTTGACCTCTGTCATTGCCAACAAAGGGTATATAACAAAGTATTGAGATGAAATTTTGTTATTGACCAAATACTTATTTTCCACCATAATTTGCAAATAAATTCTTTAAAAATCCTACAATGTGATTTTCTGGATTTTTTTTTCTCATTTTGTCTCTCATAGTTGAGGTATACCTATGATGAAAATTACAGGCCTCTCTCATCTTTTTAAGTGGGAGGACTTGCACAATTGGTGGCTGACTAAATACTTTTTTCCCCCACTGTATAACATACCTATGCTGTTTTTTTTCATGCAACCTTGGTGAACATCCCTGTTGAAAAAAACTGCATAGGTATGTTTTGAAGCATGGCAGGTGGTTTAAGCTGGTTTAAGCTGGTCATCTGCTGGTCCTAAGCAACTAGCTCCTGCTCAGGACCAGCTTAAACCAGCTCAAAATAGCTGCCATGCTTCAAAACATACCTAACCAGCATATGCTGTTTTTTTTTTCGACAGGGATAAGAGACTTCTTTTAAAAACATTAATAAATCTAGAGCCATGCTGACCTAAAAACTGTTAACCCAGGGTTAAGTTTGGTGTTCAAAGCCTTCTAGAGTGTAAGTCATTGTACTAGTGTAAAATGCTTAGCACATATTTCACAGTGGAAATTTACTCGAGTCATCTCTCTCTCTCTCAGCTGACTGAGATCATGCAGCTGATGAATGCTTACTTCAGTGCCACCCGTCGCCAGCTAGGCAAGGATGACTGCATCTCCATGGAGACAAACCCTAAGCTCCACCCCTCCCTACTTGAGCTCCCCTCTCACCCGGTGTGAAGAGAGAGATGGACTCGCGCACACCCACACGCACACACTGACTCTGACTGATGTACACGTGCCTGTGCAGTCCTGACTGATTGCTTCCCTGTGTTGAGCTTTTGCAAAGAGGACGAACTCAGATGAGACTGAAAGGAGCAGATGCTGTGGAAATAGAAGAGGAGTGGAAGGTGTCCAGGGAGCCACAAACAGGAGAGCAGGTTCAGGAACTCACTTGCTACACCGCCAGCCAAATCCAGAAAGAACATGGGGCCCTCCACCGGCCCCTGCCACCTGGGAGCCCGCCAAATATCACAGAGAGCATAATAGCCTGACTTCAGAGATGAATAGTGCAAAAATCATTTTCTGAAGTAGTATTTTTGGCTTGTTTTTTAGTGTTTAAATATTTAAACATCCTTAAAACAACATTAATTTATTTGTACTTATTTTGAACAATTAAAATACATTTTCCTTGAATTCATCACATATTAAGACTAACTTCAAAGAATTGATCTCAAATTAAGTTACTTTTTCTTATTTTGCTTCTCATGTAACTGTACCTTGTTTAAAGGATGTTTTTAATTTTTATTGGAAAACATGACAAAAGTACAGTTTTTTTTGCAGCGATGTCTTTATATTGCACTACTGGAAGACGACACAAACACGCTGCCGTTGCACTCACACGAAAGCACTCGCTCTGCTTTAAATGTTCCTTTCCAGACTCCTGCCTGGATCGTCATTAAACTCATTCATCAAACCATACATGACCTTAAAATGAAAGCAGGTGCAAGTCACTTTCATGTCGACCTTCAGAACTGTCCATTACTGAACCGACAGTGGTGCGTGAGAGAGAGACATATTTGAACATTTTAAGCTGTAGAAACCAAAGGATCTTTAGCTCGTCTCTATGATGTGAGTGTATTTGTGAAATGCTTTGAGCCCGACCTGGTGCTGCTTGACTGTGCTGTTAGCTTACAGTAACTCTGCACGGTGCGTCCTGTAGCCATGACAGCCTCAGATCTTTAGATCCGGTTAAGTTAAAACCAACTAACTTACACACATTTGCAGCCTGGTACCTTGTGAAGGTAAATTACATTGACATTTTCAAAAAAAAATGACAATTTTGGTTCAAACCAAGTTTCCCAGACCTCTCAACACATTTTCAAATACTGAAGCTAGACAAATAATCAACACTATTGATATGCAACATTGTCCATCCCATATTGTAAAGAAAGCACATTTCTGTAGTTCACCCAAAAATAAAAAAATTAATTTATCATTTACTCACCCTCATGGTGTTTCAAACCTTTGTTTCTTTCATCTTGATGAACACAAAATTATAAAAGTAAATGGGGTCCAAAACAACATTAATTTGCACCCCATTGACTTTTATTATATGGAACACACACAAAAAAAAGTAGAAACACCAAGACTGCTTCTATGTTCCGCACAATAAAGAACGTCATACAGGTTTAGAACAACATGAAAGTGTGTAAATGATGACAGAATTATAATTTTTGAGTGGACTATCCCTTTGAGCGTAACCTGTAGCCTCTGTCAGTTGTGATTTTGTTATGAAGCCTTATGCCAGCTTTTTTATCTGCTGAGAGATGAAATCTCTTCATCTCTATTGTCCTTCTTTAATGTGTGTTACTTTCTACTAGTTTTATTTATGGCTGTCTGTTGTATACATTGTGTGGAAGTGAGTTTTTATTGTCCTTTTTACTTTTGTTTTATATATCTTTCATAAAGACCTGTATTTGTATTTTAGTGCTTGCATTGGAATAATCACAAAAGAGCGGATGATGTCAGTTAAAATATGGTGTCATGTTTATTTACGTATTTGGTTATTTGTCATTTATTTCCCCCTGTCCGTGAGAGGTCTACATATTGCAAATAACTTGTTAATAATTGTTTTTTGTAGATCCAGTAGGATTATTGACTGTTTGTCATAACCAAAAAAAAAAGTCATTCGCTCCTTTTAAAGTCACATGGACCAAATATCTAGGGGTTGGGGTCGTTTTTCCCTTTATTTTTTTCCTCCTCTTGTATGACTGCCAAACTATTACTGAAGCAATAAAACCTGCCCAGTCTTCCTGAGTATGAGCCCATTTTCAGTATGGGGCTTTAGGTTGCCTAAAAAGGAACCACTAGTGCCTGTCAAACAGTCTGTACAATCTTTAATTCACCCATACTCCATAATCAGGCTAATTTTTTTCTGTATTCATAGTATTTATATTTCGGTTGTGCACTATCTTTGCTCTTGTGCAGCTTGTCTGCATGAATACAAATCTGAAAAAAGGTTACCAGCTACTTGAAATTCAAAGGTGGAGGGCAATCACATCTTCAATGTTGTTTATTTTGGTTTTTGTTTTAAGCTGTGTCTTTTGCCCAAACCGCGTTCCACCTACAGCCCGTGACGGCAGTAGCAGTTGTCACATGCTTTGTTTTGTGTTCTCTTCATGACACTCATTAGCTGCAGGTAGCTCCGCCCACTGTCATACATGTAACAACTCGAACGACAACCTCTGATGCTTTAGACGGTTTGTATGCTGCATGGTACCTTTATTATGTTACACGTGTAATAGTCAATTGCACTATTGTTTGTATGGCTAACTTAAATGTGCAATAATGCAAAATGTAATAAAAAGCAGCACCATTACAACATCACTTGAGTGTCAGTTATACTGTTTATGTGGAAAAAAAATTATTTGTATATTATTTACGAAATAATACTTTATTCACCAAAGATACATTAAATTGAAAAAAAAGTGACAAGACTTCTACATTTTACAAAAAAAAAGTTAACGACTCTAAACTTTTAAACAGTACTGTATATTTTATAATAGTTTTTTATATAGTTTTTCAAACTATATGCTTACTATTTTAAAGCAGATTTGTAGAAAGATATTACAGTAATATTTAAGTAATCTATATGGTTTTGCCTATTTTTCATGTTGTTGATTAAATTTCATGCATTTAACATTTTTGAATAAAGCTTATTCAAAAATTTTAAATGCATGAAATTAAATCAGGCATTAAGACCCTACAATGAAAAGATCAAAAACCCCACTGAAACCTACTGGTTAAAATAAACATGGAAGTTACAAGCATTTCTAAGAAAAGGTTACTTGATTTGATGACCAGACCAGAGTGGTTATCAAAGGTAAAGGCATTCTCCTGAGCTATTTCATGCGTTTTAAAGCCAAATTACCCATGTGAGTGACTGATATGAGCGCAGATGGTTTTGAGGGTAATCAGTATTTGCACACTATGGAAATATTCTTGTAGAAAAACATTTATTAAATCTCAAGAACTTCAAGTAAATGCATCAAGTCTGACAGCAAACTATATATACAGTATAACATTAGAAATAAGAACGTGGTAACCAGGGAAAAGAAAGCACTGAGACAGAAATCTGGCATGAAAGTTTCTCTCTCACACACACACACACACACACACACAAAAGACTGGAGCAGAAGCAGAAGATGCATTGGGATTGGTGTATGATTGATCCTGCCAGACTTTGAGGTAACTTCACTGATTTGATTGACTAGAAAAAGAACCCGATGAGGGTTCACTGATTGCATGGATTGAGGTACAGCATAACGCTTGACTTTACTGATCGTCTCTCAAAACTCTAAGATAATCTTCGAGAGTAATCTGTAACGAGACAGAGGAAAATTGATTCAATCACACAATCATAGTCTATCTCCTGAAAGTAAGCGCCTTTTGTCTAAAAGCATGCATGCGTGAATGTGAGGGAGTGAGATGGTGTATTCATAAGCTGCTTCTAGTCTGATCTCATCTTAACCTTTCACACTCCCTCCTATGGTTTACATTCATCTGAGACCACCCAGTCTTATCGGTGTAGAGTCAGAGGTCTAACGTGTGTGTGGTCAGGGAAGTTTGTGTGCACCTTGACGTAGATTGATGTAGATTTTGTGCTGTAGAGTGCAGAGTGCAGTACAAAAATAGATTAAGGTGGAGCCATAAATTCTCAGATCAAAGAAATCAAGGAAATTGGGACGAGAGAGAAGTTACAGCTCAGGATAGAGGCACCAGGTTATGGAGAACTGTTCTATAGGCCTGTAAAAATGACAAATGACATGTGTATATACATATGTGAGTGGTTCTCACCACAGCGGTAATGCAGAGAAGGCTCTGGCAGAACAGTATGGTGAGCCATGAACGGTTTATGGACCAGAGTCTCTGAGGTGCATTCACTACTGAAATTCTGAAATTCGCTACTGGATTCACTGTGTATTTTACAGGATGAGTTTAGAGCCTGCCTTCTTCAGCTCTAAGAGCTTTAGGGAGTGAGCGAAGGGGTTTTCACTGCTCTTGTGTGCCCCAGGAGATGTAGTCGGGACGTGTGGCGGCGCTGTATTCGTCCACGAGCTGCTGAACCACCTCGCGAGAGTTATCCAGCTCGTCAAAGTTGTCCTTGAATATGTCCTCCTTCCTGAACTGCTCGAGGAAGGCCTCCCTCTTCCTCAGCTTATCATACTGACGACAGGTACGCTCAAACAGCTAGGAGTGAGGGAGAGGAGAACAGAAATGAAAATCTCAAAGCTCAAATCTAGCCTTTCTACATATAATACGTCAGGTTTTTTCCCCACATTTTGGACCGATGAATTTCCACGACTTCTGCAGTCATCTGTAATTACTGGATATGGATTTTTAAAAACATGTCATAGCAACTGCACCCAAGAACAGTTGAGCATAACCAGACAACCTTATATTTGCTATAGAATTTTCCAGGCCGGTATATCACAAATATTTTTAAAAATGGCTTGATATTTTGACATTTCGTAATTATGGAAACTCTGTTCAGTGGTGTTTGGGGTTCTGAGGAAATAACTAATTAACTTAATTATTTACTATAGTAATTATACTTATTTACAACAATAATTTTCCTTTTATGGCTGATAACCGATAATTTATAATTAATAGTATTTTATCAAAAAAAACAAAATAAAACATTAAAATGAAAATCAATCGCTTTGCTATTGAAAATTATAATGTACAGTATGAAAAATGGAGGTTAATTTTGAGATTAATATCTTTAGCTAAAGATTACATCTAACAATATTATCAAATTGAGTGTTAGATGACGGCAAAAACCTAAATGTAAAAATAGAACAATTGAGCATGAAAATGTAGTCAATTATTTATAACAAATAGTCCAAAATTGGCTGTTTTACACCGATAAAAATAAAAATAAACAAATTAACAGTTATTCAGCAAGAAAGTATAACATTTATGAAGCGACAAAAAAAAAACTATTTTAATAAATGCCATTCTTCTGAACTTTCTATTCATCAAAGAATCCAAAAAAAAAAAGAAAGTATTAGTTTTAGTATTAGTAGTTTCCACCAAAATATTAAGCAGCACAATTGTTTTCAACATTAA